ATTACCTTATAGTGGAGAATGAGTTGAAAATAACTTCCTGGGCTCTAAAACCTGAAAAGTCAGCAGGAAAAGCACAGCTTCTCAGGGCAGCCAGGGAGCTGTGAGTCCTGTGGGGTTTGCTCTGCGCTCAAGGACAGGAGACTCCCCTGTAGCCCCTGGGGAGCAGGTGCTGCCCTGCCTGGAAGGAAACAGAGAGACAGGAGTGTCATTCCTGCCAGTAGCTCTCATTCCTCTTTAGTGGAAGAAGTAGCTTCTTCTACGTTATTTTGATTGCCAGATAGATCAGGAGAGGTGGAGGAAGAGGGTGAGGAAGGTGGACGACACTTACAGGCATGAGGAGAAGGCTGCTGGATTTCAATGTTCAGAATGGAGAATATTTAAGTTTGCTTTTCAAAATATCTCAGATTCTTGATTTGGATTTGCCAAAAAGCTAATTATCACCAGGGGCAGGAATGCCTAATTCTAGTTTCAGGAGATTCTGTGATTCTATTAACAGCTTGCTTTTATGGGACATTAATTAACATGGAATACAGGAGAAGCAGCAAAAGAAAAGGAAGCATCATTTCACCTTCTGCATCACAGGCTGATCTGATCATTATTTCTTTTCAAAGTTACAGCCCAAGCACTTTGGAAATTAGTAATGAAATACCATTTCTCACCTCATTTAATTYGAAATTCTCTGCTAAGGTAACCCATTGACTTCAAAGCATTTTACACTAACAGTGAATTTGCCCGGGCAATGAATTAAAAAAGTTGTACTMGGCTATGGCCATTTTGCTTTATTATTTGACCCATGGGGATGATGCCTTTGATACAGCAAGATCTGGCACAAGAAGTTTTTCCCAGAAGTAATTTCAGAAGCACTTTCCCAATCTCATAAGCAAGCCACAGAAAACGGTGTGGAATTTTCTAGCATAGAAGGGGCGAAAACATGATTAGAGCCATGCTTCAGACACATTCATCAATGAATAACCATGGAGATGGAAGGATGCACTGATTGTGTTTTCACTTTCCGAGGCAAGATACTGGGAGTGTACGATCATCAGTCTGAACTAATAGAGCAGTTGTTCTATCTTCAGGGGAATGCAGGCACTCTGGAAAGAGGCTTTGGAAAAACAGGAGAAATAAAGTGAATAAAAATGAAGCTGACACTCCAAGAAGTCCAAGGCGCTACCTAAACTTAAACTGAATATCAAGTCAAATAGCAGTTCTGCAAGGAAGAATTTGAATGCTTTAGTGCATCCCGGGGGGAATGCAGAGGAGCGGGTCAAGCTGAGGCACGAAGGGCCAGGATGCTCGAGGAGCYGCGGCCGCCCCGGGCTGGGCTCCGCTCCCCGCGCTGACCGCCCGGCCCTCCCGAGAGCCGCAGCCAGGGGGGAAAGGCCGGGAGGGAATTGGGGGCTAATCAGCACTCCAGGGAGCAGCCGGCATGGGAAAGGAAAAAAGGACTGAAATTGTTTGACATAATAACAAGAGAAGGGTAGCGCTAATAGCAGTGCACAAATACAGGGAGCTGCTGCAGAGAGGATGGGAACAAGCCGTACATTGTGGCCACTGAACAGGACAAAAAGTCGCAGCTAGAAATGTTTGGGTAAACATCAGGAAAACATTAGATAATGTGACCAGCCAGAGCTGGAKAGGGGTACTGGGGGCACAGAGCTTCCTTCACAAGAGGCGCAGACTGGGCAGGCACGTAATGGGTTCTCAACAGTCATCCCGCCTTGGGGTGGGAGAAAAGACCTACACGGCACCCACGGATCCTTTTAAACCTTTCCCCGAGTGCTCAGAGCTTCCAGAGCCTCGCACTGACCGTTCCCTCTGTGCACTAGGAGCCGGCGTTTCCGAGGGTTGGCACCACGGCATAGAAAGCTCAACTCACAGCCAGGTCCGGTAACGAGGGGGTATTTCACGGGATAACCCCCTCAGTTTGGCTTGCCAGCTGCCAGGGATATGACAAGGGTCCCCTCTCCCTGGGCACCCCAGTGCACTGGGTATGTTCAACATGCAAAGGTGGTTGTGGAGCAGCAGAGGCTCCGCGACACGAGGAGCAGCCAAGGGCACCGTGCGCCCCTCCGCCGCCCGGGCCCTGCCCGCGAYGCTCCAGCTCTACCCTAGCAGCCTCTGCTAAGGCAAGCCTGGCCGCTGTGAAGTCACGCCGCAGAACGACGACTTTTTGATTCGATTTGATTTTACCTTGCCTGGGCTTTTTCTAACCTGCAGTTAATTAATTGCCAATTAACTTGCAAACCTGGTCACTCCCTGTGCATTAAGAGTAGAATATAAATTCCTGCTCCCTGCCCTACCTGAGATGTGGATGCACCTTGCCTGGAACAAAAGTTGGAGGGGACAATGTGCTCAGCCTAACCTTTTCCGATAGGTTATTAACCATCCTGAGTTAATTGATTACAAATTAACTCGAGGTCAAAACTCTGCACCCCAAGGGCTGAAGGCTATTTATTTATTTAAATTTATCCTCAACTGCTGGGAGGTGAAGTAAAAGTAAAGCAAAATAGAATAAAATAAAAATGAACGTGTATTTCATTCTGTCATGCTGTATGGATATTTTGGCACTGAGACAGAAAAAGAAAGGGGATCCGGGTTGTCTAATCTGCTAAGTTTTTACAAATCAGTATATTGGCGCACAGGGGCTGCAAAGAGGGCCGAACTCTTCTTCTTCTGAGACTGCCCCGCTTGCGTTGCCAATACCAATAACCAGAGCGGCACAAGAGCTCGGAAAGCTTCTCTCCATGCCCACCCCATCCCAGGTGCAGGGAGGACCAGGGAATGGATCTGGGGGTATCACATCTGGCAAGCAAAGGCTCTGCGCACTGCCTGAGCCCAAGAATGGCTTTTACTTGACCTCTGGTAGGGCTGAGAACAACTTCCTAATGCTCTGGTGTTGGCACAAAAGTGTCCAAATCAGTGCAATAACCCATCTAAAAAGAACAAGACTGCGGCCAAGTCTTCTCAGGAGAGACAGCAGCCTCTGCAACCCACTCGATAGGAGAAAAACAGGTGCTAGCAAAGAGGGCAGCCAACTCCRGCTTCCCATTTGCTCCATACTGTTATAGTTCCACCTAGGAGCTCTGCAACTGGGCCAAAATCCCACGGCAGCTGACGAGGAGCTGGGGCTGTAGAGCTGGGAATGCAGGATGACCGAGCTCGGGAAGGCAGCCGGCAGGGCCGCCCAGAACGAGCCTGTCCCCAGAGGCGGCAGCTCCGATCATCATTGGTGGCATTTCATTGTTGGGGATTTTTTTTAAACCAGCTAATCCATTACGGATGTTTTAGTTGTCAGTATTTCTCAAAATGCTTTGCTCAACGTAAATTTGAACCTTCTGGGAGAGAAAAATAGATCTAAATATGTCACCTAGCTCTAAAAATAAAGCATGGCTCATATATGCAGCAAGCAGAGCCCTGCTGCCCTGAGCTCTCCACCCTGCTGATGCACCTATACGAATTTCAGCATCTCACATTGACAAGCTGACCACATTGATGTAGAAATGGCAACAGTTCCACCCCAGGCCTGAGATACRGTGTGCTAAAAGCAGAAGGACCATATTCCTTAAGCAAATGAAATAAAAATATTAAATTCCTAAAAACTCCAACTCCTWAATTCTCCTCTTCCTCATTTTCCTTCACATTCTTGACATAATAAACTGCCATCCCCAGAGGATGTGGAGTTAAGGATCTTGGAGAGCAGTGACTGTGGCACATAGTGAATGTTAATCTATTCCTTTCCTAACATACCTCTGTCTGTGCATTTTCAATGAGCTGTATTAAATATTGATTTCCTATAGCTCTAATTGTGCCCAAAGGTGGATAGTGCTGGGGTGAATTCACAGAGATTGCAGCCCATCCTCAGGAGCCCCTTCCCCACTGGGAGCAGGGGCACGGGACAGACGGGGCTACAGTAGTGAGGGGCTCCTTGGCAAGTCACCGTGTCCTGGTTCCTATCCCACTGTCACCATGGGYCATTCAGCTCTCTTGTCTGCCCAACAAACTATTTCCATCTGTACAAAGGGAATAAAAATAACCGGTTCAACATAACTTCTGCTTGCAGAGCTACTAGTCTCAAGAGCACAAGGTAGTTCATACTATTCCAGTATGTTCCATGCCATATTTTTCTGTAGAACAAAGTCCTAAACAGGCTGCATGCAGCCATAGCACCTATTCCAGGAAGTCCTCTCCCAGGATGGCCTCAATGGCCCAATCTCCATACAACAGGATGCAAAACTCCAAGCAAAGCCTGCACTTTATTTATTGACTAATTCCAGCCTCTCTCTGTGATCATTCTCTGYGCTGCTCCCTCCTTTAAATCAATTGAAATTGCTTTATCACTGCAAACTGGAACCAATTCAATTCACTCTTCCTGTTCATCATTCAAAACCGCCACAAATTTGGGGAAAACGGTAGTGAATTTACTTGTCCATAAATAGGAACTAAGCTACTTTTGCCTTAACCCCTGGCAGGCCTCATGTGAATGGGGGGTGCAGGGATGGCTGCAAGCCTGGGTGCGCCCAGGGCTGCTCCGGCTGCCGAGGTGCCTCCTGCTCGTTCCTCCCTGTCTGAAAGCCACAATAAAAACGACATCTCGGGAGAACCGAGGAGAAGTGTCCCGCGTGGGCAGGCAGGCGCTGAAGGGCGTGCTGCTCTCCGGCTCAGAACACGAGTCCTTTCTACAGCCACAGTCCTCACAGGTTCTGGCAGGCTCACCTCGCCACAGCGGTCAGGAAGGGGACTATCCTGCTGCTGCACGTTGGGTCCACACTGCATGCTGCTCCTGGGGGCACCCCCGGGTTTGGGAATATATGGCAGCCTCCGCTAAAGGGCCCTACTGTGCTGCCCACCTTGCTGGGCATCTCCATGCTGCTCTCAAGTGCCTCCCTCCAGCAGGATTTCAGTCACTGCTGAACTGCTCAGCCAGCTCCTCGGACAGGACCCCAAGTCACAGAGTTCCAGGGCATCCGAGCCTGCTGCTCACGGCAGGAGAAGGGAGCTGCCATAAACCAGCCGTACAGCTCGGAGGGTCGGTTTGCCAAGTTCATGGCAGCATGTTCCCTGCTTTCCATGGGCACTCATGACACATCCAGCAAAACCCACCTGCACGGGAAGAGCACGAGGGCAACATGTGAGGCTACAGAGCCACGGAAGGGCTGCCCCGTCTCCCACCCTTCGTTCAAGGCCCCGGCCCAGCCATGACGCAGGTGCCCTGAATTTCATGCGAACAATGTGAAGTGCAAAGGCTGGCGGGGAGTGCCAGGCTCCGTGCAGGGGAGATCCCGCCAGCCTCCTGCAGCTCCCAGGAAAAGCCGAGCTCCCCGGAGCAGGGAGGAGACCTCCAGACTTCGGCTGATGCTGTGTTGGCCACATGCTCTTTCCCTCCAATTCGGAGACAACAAACCTCTTCAATGTCCCCTAAAGAAATCCACAGACAGAGCGGATTCTTCTGAATTCTTATTTTCAAAACCTGATTCTAGGTTCTCGCTAAAGCAAAATCACGTGCCTGTTCCTGGCAGAGAGCCAGGACTAAATTAGCTTGATACATTTAGTACAATTGCAAGTTAATAGGCAGTCTGGTCTGCTGTAGAACCTATGCAATCCTTTAAATGTTTAATCAAGAAGCAAAATTAGCACTTAAAGATCCATTGCTTCCAGCATTGTTTTTCTTCTAAGCAAGCCAGTAAATTGGGGGGGAAAAAAAGCCCTCTGCCAGGTTTACACGTCTTTGGTGCTGAAGGCAATCTGCTTTGGCCAAGAGGATGCACTATCAGGAAATAAAATGCAGAGACAGAGAGAGGGGAAGAACTGTTGGGAGCAATGGGTGTACACTTCTGGTTCCCAGGCCAGATCTCCAGAGCTGGTTAGAAAGAGACCCTTAAACTGCACTGGGATGAATCACAGAATGACCGAGGACGGAARGGCCCTTTGGAGATCATCTAGCCCAGTGAAGACCCTCCAGGAGGGATTTTTTCTATGCTGTGAGATGGACGGGGTGACTTCTGCATCTGTGCGGGTCATCCCCCCCAGCCTCTGTAGCCTCTACAGCTCCTCTCAGTGGGAGCACAGAATGGCAGGTCAGATGTCTCAGTTGTCAGTCCTGTGATGGGCTGGATCGCCCTGGGACACGACTGTCTCTGTGTGCTGGTGAGAAGCTGAAATGATTGTCTTGGACATCTCAGCATCTGCTTCTAAGGTGGATCCAGCTTGGAGCAACTTGTTCCTCATTCTACTGAAGGCCAAGGAATGAGCCCATCTTTGACCTATCCGTCCAACACATCATGACATGAGGGAAGCATCCCTCTCGTGCAGGCGCTGAGCCCATTCCATGCAGTGCTGGGTGTCCATGACTCAGCAGCAGATGAAGTGCCAAACCATCTTAAAGGTCATTGAGCTCCTCTGCCAGGGCTGCAAACAGCAGCTTGGCCCTCTCATCTGTCAGGTCTGCTTTATATCAGCTGTCAATTGCTGGCGTCCCATCCCAAAATAGCTCATTTCACCTCTGTTCCCAGCCTTGAAGCCCATCACGCTGTTCCTGGCCTGCCACCTCCGATTCCCCTATGTCACATCATGGGCTTGGGATGACAGGACAGGCTGAGCTGCACTGAACCAGGGAAGCTGCAACCACGACTCAACAGGGAGCAGGAGAGGGAGAGAGAAAGGACAGGACGGGTCGAACTGCAATTAAGCAGACCCCGTTGGATCAGTGTGCTAAACGCACAACAAATGTGTTTTGTCTTAGCCCCCGGCAAAGTGTTTTACAGCAGTTTCTCTGAGCCACGCTGGGTTCGTACAACTCCCAGATGCACCTTGCTCTGTTCCCGGCTCTCCCACRTGGCCAGGGCTGCGAGGAACGTTCCCCGTTGTGGGTCTCCAGGGTTCCTGCATCACCAGAGACTTCAAAGCAGAATAAACATCTTTGTTCTGTAAAGACCTTTGTGCATGAACGGAGCACGTGAGCAAACACAGCTGCCGCGCCAACATCACAGGGAAAGAGCGGGAACAACGAAAGCCRCCTGAGGCCTTGGCCTTTCCCCCTCCGTTAAGAGAGAAAGGCAGAGGCTGGGGAAGGGCGCGGAGACGCAGGAGGCCGCCCAGCAACACCCTTCCCGTGGGCACCGCGCGCGCCCAGGCCTGCGCAGCGTCGCCTGCAGCAGGGCCTGCAGGAACCCGACGTTCAGGGCAGCCCTGCCTGGCTGCGTCCCGGCCTCCAGCCTCCTGCCCTTCAGCCAGACGCGGGGAGCTGCAAGGCAGCGTGGCCCCTGGCACAGGCTGCTGCCCTTGGCTGCTGCTCCTTCCACAGCTTTATGTGCTGTCCTCATGTCCAGATAGTTCAGACAGGTCCTGGCAATATGGACCTTTTCACAGTGAGCTTTACTGCAAGCTAAAAGGGCCACAGAGGCGCACCTGACAAGCCCTGGGCTGACCAAGCAACCTCGRGTTTGACGCTAATCAGCAGTGCAGACAGACCCGAAAGCTCCAGGACCCCTTTCCCCTCCCTCTGAGCTAGCAATCAAGGCAGGCTGTTATTAATAATGAGTAGCCATGGCAACAGCGTGTGCTGCACGTCCTGCGGCCCGGAACCCAGRACCCGGCTCCAGGCTGCGCGGGTCGCGGACGCGCGCGGTGCCGCTCACCGCGGCGCAGCTCCGACCGAGGGCCCGTGGCTCGTTTGCAGACCTGGCGCACAGGGACGGTCACGATGCCCAGCAGGTGGATCTCAGCCGATGCGAGGTGCAGGGGCCTCAAAGACACTGCTCATAACGCCCTGCAGGTTCCTTCAAGCAGGAACATGCCATTCCCTCAGTTTGAAAACCAAGATGCAAGGAGAGGAGAGAGGGGAACAAACCTGTCTGTCTCTGAACTTTCTGGGTGGCCACGTGGCTCTCAGTGTCCTGTGGCCCAGGCAAGGATGTAGCCTCAACCTTCACATCACATCCACATGTGAATCAGGCTGATGGGCAACCCAGGCCCAGAGAGATGGCGACAAAAGGGCCAGTGCCTTCACGCTCCCAAGCTAAAGCTGAATTAATTGAGCTCTGGGTGAGCAAAATCATGGAGGGAGGAGGAAAAGAGCCCAGAAACCAGCGAACCTGCTGCTCTGGTGCTGACACAGATTGCCTTTTAACGCTGTATTAGCTCCCTCCCTCAGTGGTTTGCAGCAATCACTGTTATAAGCTAAGTATTGCTTCTAATTTTGGACCCCACTTCTTCTCATAAAAAGACTTTAAAAGCATCCTAAGTGAAACAATTACCTGAAGTAAAAGGTCCTTAAATAACAGGGCAGCATTTTGAAAAAAAAGGGAGCTGGATGGTTCAAAACGCTCACAACGGCTGGAGACTGACGATCGTCCGGCTGTCCTGACGACACTGCTGGCTCCACGAGAGCAAAGGTGCAAGTTGCACCATGCGTTTTTGGTCACACAGCCCAAATGTCACCACGTTTTTCTCAGCACACAACCTCTTGAGGGAACCTGGAAGCCAAAATAATTTAGGCRACTGAATTACCAGCAAAAAGGAAAAACAAAAATGTCCATTGGATTTTCYCAGTGGGATTTTCTTTCTAAGGAAGCAAGTGCATGGCTTGAAACGCAAGCACCTTTGGTTGGCTGCTGGGAGCGCACTCAGCTTGAGCCTCAACATTTCAGACTGAATCAGTTCCAACAGGTCTAGCACTAGACAGGATGGAAAATTAGCTTTGCGACATACAGCAAGCAGAAGTAGTCAATAAATATTTCACTTGTGCATTTGGAAAGAATTTGGATGATGTGTTCATATCCTAGAAGGATAATGAAATACTTCACTTTCCAATGGCCCTGAGCAATGTTTGATTGTACAGAAAGAATTCAATGTAATTAAAGAGGATGTTAAACAACAGCTATTCAAGTCAAACACTTTAAAACCCACAACTACAGATCATTTACATGCAGGAGCACTAAGGGAATATTCCAGAACTTGTGAAAATTCTTGAGAAATTCTACAGGCAGGATATCTGATTCAGGCACAAGATGGATTTCAATGTGGATTTTCAGTGCCCTCAGGGAATGTCTCCACCAGCAGCTGCTTGGTTCTCCCAGCATGATGCTGACTCCAGTTTTCTGTCTCTCTCTTCCCTTTTTACACCTCTCTCCTCCTTTCCTCCATCACCCAAGCAGATTTTTTGAAGGATCTGGCTATGTCCCAGGCAGAAAAGATACCTCATATTGAAACTGGCCCCTTTTGTCTTCATTGCCCAAGTTCTCGCGGCAGGCATCCTGCAGGGATGAGGGCAGGATACACCAGGACTCCAAGGACAACGACAGCAGGACATGAACCCTGGAGCCTCCATCCGAGTGACCCTTGGGGTGAATCAAGCCCTATTCAGTCCATCCTTTGGAACTTGGCCAGTAAAACCCACCTGGCTGCATCCTTCCAAAACAGCCCGCAACACCTCCGGTGTCCACTCCAATATAACCATGCTGTTTGTCACCTCTGACAAAAGCCCTGAAGCCCTCACAGGTTTTATCTCCTGAAAAGATCGGAACCCATTTAGATTCCCTATTTTAAACCTGTGTTTTTCTTTGGAGCWGAGATCTTCCTCCTGCCTAGCAGCAACCACGAGCAGCTTTCCGCAACCCACCCCCCCTACCTCCCATGCTCTGGCAGCTCTCAGCGAATCTCTGCAGCTTGTCATCTTCACATTCACCAGGTTCTTCCTCTTCCCTGCGCAAGAGCTGGTCTGTCACTCCCTCTGGATCCTCGCCCAGCCTCTCCTGCCCTATAGCATCTCCAGAAGTGCCACCATCCGACCCCACAGAGATCCCCAGCGTTCTCTGGGGTTCTCCCCACCTAGGATTTTTGCTTGCTTGGACAACAGTCTATCACCAGCATGGTTAAAAAATCTCATRTTTTCCTGAATTCAGACCCTTAGAAAATGTATTAAATAACAGAAAGACACTTCAGATGACCTGGATGAACTTCCTTAGCATGGGACGAATAATTCCAGATTTTTAGCAAAAGAAATAGGCCTTAGGAAACACTCATTTTGATTCAGAACCACCTTTGGTCCAGCTTCAACAYGGGGTCCCAAAAAAGACCTTTTAGGGGAGGTACAATTGGGCCAGGACGTCCTGGCCTTCTTCAGAGACCTACCCCAAAAGGACAGCAAAGGGTCTCTGCCGCTCACCTCAGGGCCAGAGCAGGGACCTCCGGGAGGTCAGTCCTGAGGTTTGGTTATCCAGGCTGCATCCATGGCCGCAGCACCTGCCCGACTAGGGAAACGAGAGGAGCAGGAAGGGTGAAGTGCTGTGGTGGGAGCTGCCCCCTCCCCAAGGGGGTGACGCYGCAGAGCTCTCGACATCCAGCGCCCCACAGCCCCACCGCCAACTAACGGCAGGCATTCACTGAATTTACTGCACAGCACAACTCATAAAAAGGGATTAGAAAAACGAACATATGAAGCCTAAAGGACAAATTCACYCCTGCTGGCTGCCACCCTCCAGACCCGCACCATTTTGCAGAGATCTATAGATTTTTAAGGTCACTACAGCATCTAATGGTAATTTCTGCTCCTCTCCATGTATGAATGCATTTAGCGACTCCAGAAATCAGTCCAACAGCATGAAACCACACACTAAAGCTTTCCTTCTAGTTCTCATTTAAAGAATTACATAAGATGAGGAAATTGTCAGTTAAARTTAAGAGGGTTTTTTTTTTCATTAGAGGAAAAAAATCTACATTAAATGGAAAATAAAAATCMTTCAAATAAGAAAGCAAAACTGGAAAATCCAGAGATGAACTGACAAGACTACAGAATATCCCTCCCAAACACCATTACTTGAGTACAAATTAAAAAATTTGTACCACTGGTTTCAGAATGTTGACCATTTTGACCATTCCAAAAAGCTTTTGCTTATTTGCATATCAAATATGTCAAAGCAAAATATCCTTTTGACCCAACCTTTGTTTTGAGGACAGCTTAGATTTCTTTTTTTCTTTCTTTACTTTTTAGAGAGAGGATGTTTTACCATGAAAAGCTTTAACTGTGATTTTTATTTTTTAGTGCGTGAAGTTCTAATTGAGGAACTTCTGGGTGTGCTACCTTACATCTACCTTGTTAGTTTGTTCCAGTTAGGTTAATCAGTCTGACTTTTAAAAATGTGCAATTTAATTCTGTTAGGGCTTTGTCTGGCTCTRAGTAACAGGGCTAACGAGACCATCACTCCGCAAGGCGCCCAAGAGGAAGGTTATCTCCTCTGGCACGCCGGAGCCACACGTGTCACCTGTTCCCTGTTCCACTGGTCAGGAGATTCAGCACTGGAAAAAATAACAATACAGGACCTGGCTCYGGGTTGCTGGTGGAGGCAGTGCGGTCAGGGCAGGCCTGGCTAGATAGAGAGGGTCTTTWTAGCACCGACTCTCCGACTAGTTGTTCTCTCTGGGGCAAGGTTGTGCCTGGCGGCTCTTGGCTAATCTGTTCATCAAACTCTTCCGATGAGTTGAGGCTTCTGGAAGAAGAAAAATACAGTTGTCCAGGCTGGTCCTTAATCCTCTCCCAGAGAGGCAGCCCAGATGACACCTTGGGTTTCCTCTTAGCTTTCAGCAGCACTAGGTGCCCAAGTGTCCCTCTGTCCTTGTTCTTCCTGTGCTTCCTATAAGGCATTAGCTATTCCTGGGGGGAGAACATGTAACTTTTCCTGGCTGTGAAAACCACTTCTCACTCAATTTCTGTAAAGTCCTATTAAAAAAACCCTCCCTCTTTCTCTAAAGAGGTRACTTTAAGGACAGCAGGCTAAACCCCTGAAGTTTAGGCTCAGATTAATCAGCAAGCTGAAAGGCTCCATCCTTGTGTGAAAGAGCTGGTTGCAGGTGCAGAGGTTCTTCATTGCCTCCAACTTCAAGGAAAAAGACCCTAGGCATCCTGTAAACTGGAGAAATTAATGCATTAACTCCTCATAACATTCTCTCTTGCAGGAAGGTTGGAATATAATCAGAAATATGTTAATGTGCCATTTGCTAATTTCATTCTTATTCCATCTGGGGACAGCAAGATCCTCTCCTCTGATATATTTTGAATGTACTTGTCAGAAATATTACATCTTGAAGAAGAAAAAGTKTGCTGCCTCTCGCAAGTATTTCTTCATTCCTAGCCACAAGTCCACCCATGAAGCAAATCAAGATAAACTTATTTTCCCCACCCAGATTGTTTCAGCTGTTCCTGCTTTATCTTATGACTTAGTGTTATTACTTTTCTTTAAAGATCTTTTCTTGATGACAATTAGATGCTAAAATAAGCCAAAGAGAGGAGCAAACTCGATTCTGGTGCTTTAAAGATCGGTCGTGCAGCCCATCGGTTGCATTACTGCTGCTCGGGGARCAGAGAAAGGAGGAAACGACGGCAGGAAAGCAGCAGTGCGACAGGTTAGTCTCTCTGAAGCCACAGCGAGCGCTCCCACCAGCCACACTGGCTAATTGAAGTGATTCATTTTCCCTGATTCCTCCTCGAGTCCACAACGAGGGGCTGCTTGTCCCAGACACGGATATGGAGGAGCAGGACTGGGCTTCAGCTCCAAGCTGTGCCCAGGCAGGCTGCAGACATGGCTTAGTCAGGGAGCAGCAAAGCAGCTGCCAGCTCCCTGCTCAGCACCGCTCACACCCAGCGTCCCCACGGTCCCAAGACGGGGCTGTGGGTCTGTCGCTACGTCCGCAGAGCCCTGGCACGCYGCGGGCTCCAGCGCCCCGGGCACCGCGCTCCCATTGACAAATCCAGGCTCCTTAATTCTCTGACCATGCTTCCCTTTTGCAGCAAGACAGAGCAGCTAATTAACTGCTCTTCTAAATGAAGGGAGGTCTATTTGGCTTCAAAGGAGACAAGGGAGAGATGCTTCCGATGCTGCTGTTTCCCGCTGCYGACGCGCAGATGTGCGGGAGCTGGTGGCTCGTTTCTCACTTGCCCTGGTAACTCTGCCAGCTTCGTGAGCTTGGCTTTCCTCAATGCCGAGCATGTTATGGACAACCCAGAGATGTTCCCTACTCCCTCCTCCAGCACAGACTTAATGTTACCAGGCTCCTTTCAAAGCACTTGTCAGCTACAAAAGCAAGGCTTTAGCTTGCTTATTATTTTAATACTTCACTATGTATTTTATATACTATTTTTGTTCTGTTCACAATGCATTTTTGAGCTCACTATCAGCAGAGATAATATAACACAAGCCTTAATATCACAGGAAATGAATATTGATGGGAATCTTGTTACAATTTGTTAGATTTTATGCTCCATTTAAATTTTTTTTTCAATTGATGTGCTCAGAATTGGTGAAATTATTTTTCAAGGGTTTAGTGGAGCTTAAATTATTCTTTGGCCTTGTTCTTCTCAGGGGTGGATTTCACCCAAGGTGAAGCAGAATGGCCTGGTTAGCGAGAATATGGATTTCAAACAGGAACCCCTCCTGCTTAATGATCACTTCAACGCCCGCTATCATAACACACAAGGGCTATTTCCCTTGAAGGCTCYCAACACAGGATTTACCTTTTACTGAACTGGAAGGGTGCAGAGATGCTGACAGTACTTAAAAGGCAGAGAGAAAAGGGAAGTGCTCACATCATGTTACCTGTACCCCAGGTCACAGCCAGGCACCAGCATCACTTTCATCTGCAAGGAGCAGGGTCCCAGCTCCAACTGCAAGTCGCTGCTYGGCTGACTTCTAACAGAAGCACTAATTGGAGCCAGGGGCTTCTCTTTATCCAAGCCATTCTTCTGCTTAGACAGAAGAGATTTCTCTCCCCTCGCCAATTTACAGAATTAGGATCAGCTGGGAGGAAAGGGCTGGCTTCTCAACAGGCCACTTGGAAGGAARTGGAATCATCCCTCCATCTCCCCCAGCTCACAGGAATTGCGACTTCAAACTTTTTAAAGGAYCAAACCCGACCATCTTCCCGCTTGCTCAACTCCCCATTCTTTTGCATCCTTAGGTGCTCCACTGTTTCATGCAAGAGCAGAGCAGTTTATTTCTCTTGCATGTAAGAGCGGGATGCTCAGATACTCTTGCAGTGCAATGAATAAGACACACACAGAAAGATAGGCAGATGAATGAATGGTAATTTATGAAATAAAGCAGGATGTAGAGTTATGTCGACACAGAGAAGAGGAAAACACTATTTTTTTCTACGCCTATTTCTACACCTAAACACTATTTTTTCTACRCACAGCTACGGCAAACCTCTGACAAGGAGCTGCAAGGTCAAATCCACCGGCAGAGGAGCAGAGGAATAAGGTGGAGATTGAAAGGAAAAAGACCATTCAGGTCACCAGATCAAGGCGTCAGACAGACTGAGGAGGGCTCTAAAGAGACCCCGGCCAGTGGAGCTACAGGCAGCCCCGTGAGCACATCGGGTGCATCCCGTGCCAGTCCGGGCCCCTTCCCTTTGCCTGCAGCAGTCYGGGCAGCCGGAGCTCCTGCCACCAGGGGAAGGCAGGGGGAGGCCCGTTTTGCTCTGCTGAGATATATATATAAATATATGTATTTTCTATTAAAGAAAACCTGTTTAGGGAACAGGCTCCAGAAAGGGGCAAAATATCCCATTAATGAGGAACCAATAGAGACTTTTTAAAGCACCTGACAGGGCTCAAGCCATAAATTCTCTGAATTAACTAGAATGGATTTATGGACGCAAGTAGGAACTCAGCCAGGAATGAATTAAAAGAATTCAGCCTCAAATTCATCAATGTCTCGCTTAATATTTTAGCCTCTCAGTGGTAGCMGAAATGATGAGGGAGAGAAGAGAATTGATAGTAATAACAAGGCTGTTGAATACTCTTTGCGAGTCTTATTGGCAGGGGCTCAGCGAGAGACGTGAGAGCCCGCGCCGTCTTTGCTCTGCGCAGGAGGCCCCATCTCTGCCTGCAAGGGGTTTTCCAGCATATTCTGYGCTCAGTCTTTGCTGAAGAGGAACAACCTCTGGGTGGTTTTGATCAGAGCCGGCGGCAGAAATCGGAGGGATGGAAAACGTGCCCGGATGAGACTGCCCAATGTGCTCTTCTTCCAACCTCTCTCCTCCCTGAGAACGGGATGGATTCAGGGAGAGTCCTTGACTTCACCTGTGAAATGGTGTTTTCATCTAGCAAAACGGATCTTTTCAACGTTCCATCAAGATAAATGACCCTCTATTATTGTTCCCTAGGCTTAATTTAAATGCAGGTCCACTGGTACCCATTCTGCTTGCAACAAT